TTTGAGAAAGAAATTATACTGTCTACATGGAGCAAGAAAACGAAAGTACATTGCTCGGCGAATGGTCCTTTCACTTCTGAATTCATTTTAAAACACCTACAAATTCAAATGTAAATTACCAGAGTGACAGTCAGAAGGAATTTTGTAAGTGGTGATAGTAATCTCTGAAAATTTTAAAGTGGATTTTTTGTTGTGGAAAAACGTTTGTAGGTGACAGTAACAATATGTTGATCCTCGTAATAGAGAGAGAAAACGGAAAATGGAAGTGTAGTATTTTTATGGAGCCGAGAATTCATCTATTTAGTACCGAAGTATTCGTCGAGAGTGTAGAGAATACTAGTGTTCTAGAAATTAAAATTAAAGGTGTTCATAAAGACGTGGAAAAAGAAATACTCCGACAGAAGGCAAAACTTTACTAATGGACAGAAGGTGGGATATTTTTTCAGATTCCGGTAGAGGTGAGGATAAGTATGTTTTGTATATACAATTACCAGTTTTCTGCATGAGTGACAAGACTTTTAGGAAAACAACTAAAACAAAACTAATCAAGATGAACCATCGGGCCAGAGCAAGTCAGTATGGTTTTAACCAAACTTTGACAATAGACAATTCGAAGTCTAAAACAATTACAAAACGCGATAGAAGCATAGAAACTATGGAACGATCATTTTTATGAATCAGGGAATAGTGACATCGTTTTGACCAAAAACAAACGCTATAAACCTGGTTGATATGATCAAGAATGCTAAGATTACATGTTCAGGGCCACCAAAAATTGTGATAATTCTTAGGAAGGGAGGATTCCTAATGAAAACAATACCAAGGTTTTAACAAATAGCTCAAAATGCTCGGCTAGTATTGTCAAGTAGCGACGCTGGTTGGTCAAGCACTCACAACATATCACGTTACAATATGCCGCGCAACACACATCCAATAAACTTCTGGCTTAAATATCATATGCCACTATTCCTTTGCATTATCACCCATTCATCTTAGACTCCTTTTACTAAACCCCATATAATTTTGTGAGAAGTGACTAATATAGATGTAGTAATAAATCCTCCTGTATTCAAAGCCTCATTAAAAACTTTAGGTACTGACTGATGAGGATGTCCGTATTACCACTTCTATCAGTTCCAGTCTGCATTTCGTTACAGAGCAGTATTTAGTAGCACTAACCGTAGTTTTATGCCGTTGTTTTACTAAGTACGTGGAATTATGGTCTACTTCGTTATTAGTACTACTCCAATAATAGACTTAATCCTAAAGTTGTAGATTGGTCATGATGTAACTGCCAAATCTATAAGATCTTATTTGGAAGTCACATCATTGTCTACAACGATTCATCGTACCGTAACAATTACCAATATATGGTAAAGAACACCTTTAGACTGGAGATAGAACAATATATTTGATATGAGTAAATACAATCCATACAGAGTGGCCACGCTTGGGAGGCTGAGCCATGACACCCGATGGATTGAATAAATTTGATTCCTTCTTCCTGCATTCTCCATTGCTGGGTTTTTCTCCCCGTTAAATGTTAAGTATCTACTTTACCAGTTGTCTCGTGTTTAGCTTTGGGGATTGTGCGGTTCAGGTCCAATGGCAATACAGATACTTTCAGCGCTTTCAAATTGTTGCATGAATTTCTCAACATTATTCCCAGTCGTCAACCCCGAAACTGGACCACTAAACTATGAGCTCTTATGACTAAAAATAGCTATTCAAGCAATTTGAAAATGCGTCCCTATTCTATCGTAAGCAAAGAAGTACAGACTGTAAGAGTATGTGATATCCCAATTCTCATACTGATACAAAATATGCTACTCACTATCCTCCTATAGGACCCAAAGAATGTCACTGGGCCCTGGCAGTCTGAGCACTGAATGTCGCACAGTTCATTTATCCTTCTCAAGGTTGAGGACAACGGACAAGCATTAGCTATTCGCGCAGCATGAACTGGCCCGTGAAGTGGTGGTTGCACTCTCTTCATTGTACTTATTCTCACTGATATGGTTCTGTACTAATGTTTTTTGCGGTGTACTGTCATAAAACCAGCCATATTACCTGAAAAAGTAACCCACATTGGGTTCTGATCGCATTTACCTGTTACACCTTTACAATGGAAGTATACCAATCCAGTCTAACCAGAAGTCAGAAGTGTAGAAGCTCGAAATTATATTTGAAAGGCTACCGATATCTGTCTGAGAGTTTGAGCTAAGTTGGCTAATGATAGTAGGAGACACGCGACACAACGGACTTACTCAAAAGTGGAAGACTTGCAGAACGATTTATTTCGGGGATGTATTACCACTACAGCTCATTCCCCCAGTGATGACTCTAAGTCAGGGCCAGCGAGATGCTTAAACCCAACGAGCTTATCGTCGGTAAATATTCATCTGACAGCTCGCTATGTTTAGCAGCATCTGATCGTCTTTCCTTACCATAAGGGGCCATGTGGCACAACATAGTAATGAATAAAAGGATAACGAAAACTTCAGTTCATTTTAAACTTCGTCGTATTTTCACCTTTTCCAGCCGTCGTGGAAGAGAAAAAAGGAACTGTGAGTGATATATAATTACACTCGTAAATGCGTAAAGACATGAAACGGGCGAAAAAAGGAAAAAAAACTTGCATACACGCGTTTTGATAGCACACAACAACGTAGAAACGATTTTCGCACGATTGTTTTTTGAAAAAAATATACGTATACATACATATGAGCATATTAGCATAGAAAACTTCGCTTTTGGCTTTTTTTGACAATGATATAAAAAATTACTAGATGGAACAAAATGGCATGTACCATCAAACATTCAGTAGTTGTCCAGGTGTTCTGGAAACCCTACTATTGTCCCAGAACGCGCTGTTTTCAGTCAGCTTTCAGATACCGCCAAAATACCGTCGTCATTGTTGGCTATCGGATGAGATATCATAATTGTAGAACTCGTGTCTTTCGACTGTACCGGTAGAAAATTGACGTTAATAGGGTCTCCTTCCAAATACGCTGCTTTGGCGCGGTCAATGCTGATGCTGTCGTTATTCCCATTCTTATCGATTACATAGTACTTAGGTTCATGCTAAAGAACTTTGAAAGGTTCTTCGTATACTGTTTCGAGATGTCGTCGAAATGAGTTTCAACGTAAAAGATGTGTGTACTATATCTAAAATCAGGTTGAACGAAAACATCAATTGGTTGCGGTTGAGTGGAAACAGGTTTAACTGAAGGCATTGCGTTTGTAAGCTTGCTCGTGTGAAAGTTTAGATCCATATTCATCTAAGAAGATGAAACGTCCACGGATTCTCCTGGAGGTCGGAGTTTCGTTCAATAAAATATTAGAGCTGCAGATCATCCTATATCAGCTTTCACTGCATTGCGAATACTAGGTAAAACGAGTGGAAGGGCTTCCATCTACTATGAAATGTTTGCAGCTGGTAGGGAACCTTTCAGTTGTCGGTGAAAGCGCTTTACCGATTCACTTGCTCGTGGGTGATCGGTGGTCCTGAGTGACCCCACTAGGACATTCCATAGCCTGAGAGAAAATGTAGTTAATCGTGACCCCACAATTTCGATTTTTTTCAGTTATGAGGTGAGCCAGTCACTTAGAGATGGTCTTATACCCAATCATATATATAATCATATATAATTGACCCTATCAAAAGCTATTGTGAGATCAAGGTAATTTATGTCAACCTTCGCCTTTCGATCAAAAATGCTAGTCCATCTGTCCACCTTAGTCAGCAGGTTCGTTATACAACAGTGACCCTTCCTGAAACCATGCTGTTGGGGTGAGAAGAACTTTGAGGATGATAAGTAGTCCTGTATGCCACCGTATATCAAAGACTCCATAACTTTTGAAAGTATAGAGAGCAGGGCCACTGGTCGGTAGTTTGAGGGTTTTCTGCGTCGACCTGCTTTGAAGCTTGGTGTGATGTGAGCCAGCTTCCAAATTTCTAGTAGTTTGTCTAGGCTTAGCGAATGTGAGAACATCACGCTGAGTGGTGTTGGATGGATTAAAGCTGCTTCCCTCAGTATAGCAGAACGAACCACATCCGGGCCAGGAAAAGTGTCTTTTCTTATGTGTTGCAGTTTTCGGAACACCAAGTCAGCACTCAGGTTCACTTCGGAAAGTCCTGTGCAGTTGCAGATGAAGCTTTCATCAATATAGTCAACGTGGGTCGATACCCGTTAGAGTGTGGGGAGTAGTGTAACGTCGTGTACTATATTACACCTACATAGCTTATTTTAGTTTCTGGACAAGCCAATTCACCTATAACGTTATGAGTCATATTTTGATCATATTAATTATTCCCTTATTGACCTTGACTATTTATTTTGTATGAGCGTATGTGTATGCACACTTCTTATCCTACCTATCACATGTCCGTCATTCATTTTAGCCTGACTATAAATGTTGATTAATGCTTGCTTATAACGAGTTGGCTTCCCAGCCATCTCCACTCTGCGTCATCTTTCCTTCGCTTGCTTACATTTGCTAATGTGCTCACTGCCTTCTAGTCCATGTTATTTATGAATAAAAATGTAGTTGCTGCTTCCCTTTGTCTTCTGATATTATACACCGTTCAGATTGTTATAATAACGGTTATCAAGACGATCGATTAACGAAGCACTACACTACAAGAGTACTGGAGTCCTATAGGTGACCTTCTGATGGTTTACAATATCCTTAACACTTCCGGACATCCCCTTAAACATCTACTTAAGCTTAGTACCTAGAGTATGAAGACCCAACATAGCAGAACGGACTGTAGACATAACGTCTGCTCATTAAGAGTTGTCAAATGCTGAAATTCGCTGCCAACTGACCTAGTCCAAGCGACTTCTCAGGAGACCTTTAAGAGGAAACTAGACCTATTCTTAAGGACTAAGGATAACATCTTATTATGATTTACCAATTTCTTTTTTCTCCTATTATCGTTAATATACCTAGGTTCCTGCCTGGAGGTATTAATAATCCGCTGCTAATAGACAAGAAAACCCATTAAGCGAAAGCTTTCCCTATTCCCACCACAACCATTTGAACCATTTGAAGGTTTATGATCATATTTTAATTCTTTTTGAATGTTGTAATATTGGATCCATTAAAACGTGTCCTACACTTTTCGAAATTAAACGTTGTAATTTCAGGCTCCCTCCCGCCAGTTCCGTTGAATTTCTTTCGTTTCATTAATAAGTTTTCTACTAATGTCTGTACAGTCTGGCAAGTCAGCATCTGTGGACTTCTGGTGTTGGGACGAAGTAGTTCGCAAGACTAAATCTACTGTTCTTGTACTTGAGTCTCTGAGATCAGAACAACAGCAGATATCTGCTGATTTAGATTTAATAGCGAATTCGAAAGACGCCGATCAGCACGATATTTTGTATGCCAAGGAAAAGGCATCTTCCTTGGATTCAATTATTCAGAAAATTTGTAAAGGTTTGGATGATGCCAACGTGAGTTGTTTCAAGGTATATAATATTTCTGTTAAAGGTTGTAATATTATTTTGTGACTACCTTCAAAAAGTAGAAGCAGAAAAGCAAAAGTTACGGTATCAGAGTCGTCGGCTTTTTCAAGAGAACTCTTGGTTGAGAGATGAACTTGCGGTTGCCCAAGAAGCACATAGGAAAAGCGAACTAAAAATAGTTCAACTTGAAGAAGAAGTAAAGCACCTTCAATTTAGCAGTGAATTGCGGAAATATGATTCCTCTGAACCCGTGGAATCCTCGGGACTTACCGACGGTGAAAAAAACAATGATAAGACTGCCCTTGATCTTGGGTTTCCTCCTGATGATAAAGAAGAAGGAGATCAGTATGGTAAGATGTTTTTGTGATGGATTGTGTGCATTCAATGTCTTACACCTTCTGGGTACATGGAGTTGATTTTGATTGGATCACAACATAGAGACAAGGACGAGATTTCAAGAAATCATTTACAACAATGACTCATGTTATGAATGGGGTCTTGACTGTGTATACTCCTCAACGGTGGAGAATATTTTTTGTTCAGGATGATGATTTAAAAAGACAAGGTTCATAAACGATCAAACCATTCAACTCAGGGAATAAAGTTTTCTTCAACATCGCCATGAAGTTAGATGCTGAATACGTCTAGTTTAAATGAAAAACGATTTATTTGGGATGTGTTGGTTTTTGACTTAATGTTTACAGTACACTTAATGAATACTGAGTAACACTATAGCATCGATAATCTGCTTGGGTTTTTTATCTCTTAGTTTTACTGCAGTTTCGGTTTTGTTTTGGCAATTTTGTGTCTAACGTTTATAATATCGTTTATGGTTAGCTTAGTGCTAAGTACCTTACCAGATTTCTAAAGTAATCAACTAGCAGTCATATTCTGTAGCTTTCTGTGCGAAGTTTTTGAAATGCAGAAATAGGACATCCTCAGCTCAAACCCGTACGTTTAAATTGGACAAGAATCCACTAGTTGTAAACTACTTCATTATTTCCTTTAGTATATCATCTAGTAGTCAAATTTTCATTGCTTAGAGGTCATTTCGCACTTACACCGTGCAACATATACACTTATGACTTATTATTTTCAGTTTATTCATCCATTTTACTTTCACTGGCCATGTGGTAACATAATCCATGAAGTATGATTACCGTTTGATGTGCAATTAAACTCCGGTGGAAAGTAAAGTAGGCACTGCACTACACACCTCCTCTTGTTGTCTAACCCATTGTTAACACAAGACAATATATAAGAAACATTTTAAAATTAATGGTTGAGAAATACGCTTATGAAGTTACGATATCGTTCTTCAAAATGCCCAGTTTTCTAACGCGGACATATCATTTAACAGTTTCAGTTTCAGTTTGGAAAGGACAGGAGGCTTGATGGCCTGTGTTAGTCCTGGCAATGATGGTCTCTCAGCTGATCCAACTTTCTTTTGAAGGATTCGACGGATGGAGCCTCAACCACGTGCTGAGGTAATGAATTCCACTCGTTGATTATTCGATGGGAAAGTCGGTAGTCAGCTGACAAGTAATTCGTTCTGGGCTTGTGAACTTTTTTGGAGTGTCCTCGTAGATTTTCTGTTTTGGAAGACAAGAAAAATGAGGGCATATCAGGTGCAAATTTGTCATTAAGCAATTTGAAAACTATAATCAAGTCACCTCTGATTCTTCTATATGACAGCGGGAATAGGTTTAGCTTGGTCAGTCTAGTACCATACGGGAGCTTCGCTATTCCAGGAATCAGCCTAGTTGCTGTTCTCTGAACCCTTTCCAAGAGTTCACTGTCTTTTTTTAGGCAGGGGTTAGCTGCTTGTATACAGTACTCAAGTTTAGGGCGTACGAACACTGTATACAAAGTCAAAAACGTTTTAGCGTCAAGATGCCTAAAAGCCCTGCGTATGGACCATAAAGTCCTAAAACCTTTGGCGGCTATTGCACGGCAGTGTGCAGTAGTCTTTAAGTCTTGACTGACGATGACGCCTAAGTCGTTGTGTGCCTGAACAATAGGTAACTCAGTGTTATTCATCGTGTATGCATCTGTACCCTGGTGGCCAATATGCATCACAATACACTTGGAAGTGTTTATCGGCAATTGCCAGGTTTGGGACCATTCAGATAATCTCTCCAGGTCATTTTGAAGTTCTAAGCTATCGCCCTTGCTTTGTATCGCTCTCCATATCTTGACATCGTCAGCATAGAGTAAGACCGATGACGATAGTAGACGAGGGAGATCATTTACGTACAGGAGGAATAACACTGGCCCCAAAACTGTACCCTGTGGGACTCCACTAAGCACAGTTTCCCAGCTAGACAACTTGGAGTTCACCCTTACTCTTTGTTGACGCCCAACTAGGAAGTCTCTTATCCACATCAATAGATTGCCTCCAATCCCGACATTCCTTAGCTTATATAACAGCCGGTTATACGGAACTTTGTCGAAAGCTTTGCTGAAATCGATGTCAGCTACGTCTATAGGTAATTTTTGGTCCTTAAGAGCTCACCAGCTTTCACGAGCGACTAATAAGTTTGTGAGACAAGAGTAACCTGTTCTAAAACCATGCTGCTTTTCGGAGAGGATCCGGTTTTCATCGAGATACTTAAATAGTTCCTTCCGAATAATCTTTTCTAAGATTTTAACAACCACACTAGTTAGGCTAATTGGTCGGTAATTCTCAGGCTTATGTTTTGTACCTATTTTGAAGACTGGACTTACTATGGCGTTCTTCCAGTCTTTTGGCAGACGACCCTGGGTTACGGATAGATTAAAGCATAGCTAATTCCCTTAGTAATCTAGGGTACAGTTCATCGGGTCCAGTGGATTTACCTATGTCAAGCTTAACTAGCAGACCAAAGACATCGAGTTCTTTAATGGTTACGCTGTCCAGTGCTTGTGTGGGGGGATTTTCATGGACTGGTGAGAAGGGTGTTCCTATGGTGTATACATCGCTAAAGTATTTAGAGAATACTTGAGCTTTGCCAAAGTCGTCCTCCACTAGTGATGTGGCAGTACTGTCTCCCCATAGTGAAGGAACATTTCTTCCTTTTGTCCTTTGGTTTATATACGAATACAGGCGTTTAGGGCATTCTATGGATTCCCTAACGATTTTCTCTTCGTACAGCTTTCTGGCCTTACGGAGGGTCGAGGCACAGGTATTTCGAGCCTTTTGATACTGAGATTTTGCCTCGTCAGACCCCAGTAACCTAAATCTGTCCCACATTTTCCTTCTTTTACGGAGAAGGATGCGAACCTCCCTACTGAACCACGGTGGGGAGTTTCTCGGTCTCTTAGGTGTAGTCCAAGGGATGTGGGGGGTGGTAACTTTTAAGTATAAATTCCGGAATATGTCCCAAGCCGTTTCGATTGATAACTCTAGGTCTAATTTCTAATCTACTAATGATGCTGATTTCATGATGTCTGGTATGTTTGCTTTCCAGACGTTAGGTCTGGATTGAGCTGAAACGTACTCGTGATCGACAGTTATATGGAAGTCAAAGCTTAGAACTGCATGATCACTTTTGCCTAGGGGTGGCATGTAATCCAGGTTTGCAACATCATCCTCATAATGAGTCAATATAAGATCTAGTAAGGATGATGCAGAACCCGGGTCGTACCTATTTGCTTCCTTCACATGTGATTACCGCATCAACTAGTTCCTGTTCGAAGGAGTTTGCTGACGATTCAGTCCGCAGATTTCCCCAGTCCACCATGGGTGCATTAAAGTCCCCTAGGATTAGACATCGATCACTTCGTGATAAAGTGTTGAGACTGCTTAGCAGGACCTCGTTTGCCTCACAGCTTGGACTGCGATAGATCAAACTAAGTAGCAACTCTTGTCCCCTGCATTTCAGGCGGCAGCAAACTAATTCATACGTCCCACTCTCATGGGATACACTGTCGATAATGGTGAATGGAATAGCATTCCTAATGAATAGAGCTACTCCCCCTCCTTTACGCGTTTGTATTCTATCGGCCATTACTAATGTAAAACCCTCGAAATCAAGTTCCCTACTATCCATAGACGGCGTCAGCCATGTTTCTGTGACTGCGATTATGTCTGGCCTAGTTGATTCAATCTGTACACCTAGTTCTGGTAGCTTATTTAGTAAGCTCCGGGCGTTGGTATAACAGGTCCGAAGCCTATTTAGGTGTCCTCGTGCTTCACCCAGAGTGGCTTCGGCATCATTCTCTGTCGAAGCCTCACAACCCGAAAATTTACAATTTTCAGGTCTTTTTCGCCAGCGTCTAATCTGAGCTGTAGTTCCTTTTCGGCTTCCCGTCTTTTAACACGGTCCGTCAGCGGTAAGTCCTTATGGAGAAAAACTCGTGAACCCTTTAATTTGTGTCCATTGTCTAAGATTAAGTCGCGTTCGTTTGGGGATTTGAAAACGACTTTGAGTAGTCTAGACTGATTTGGTTTCAGATGCGCTAGATTTCCTAGTCTATACACCTTTAGCAAGGTGACTCCGGGGATGTTTTTGGGCATAACTTGATTGAGTAGTTGTTTTATCAACACAATGTCATGCTCAAAACGAGCTTTCGGTTCTAAGTTGTCACTCTCCTTGACTCTATGGAGAATGACTGATCTGTCGCTGTGATCAGACCTCGGCTTGTCGACCCTTTTGGTGGGGGTATGATTTCCTTTTACGTCATTTTGGCGTTTTTTTCTTACGACCCGCACCCAATCGCCAACGTTCTTTGGAGTGGTAACCACAGTCGCGTCAGGCGTACTGTGGGATTCAGGATGACTTGGGAGATTGGGTCATCTTTCGCGCTGGAAACCGATCGAGCCTTGCGATTTCGGCTTCTGGAAGTTCCCTTCTGGGTACCATTTTTGATACGAGGGACAGAAGAGACTTTTTTGCGCGAGTTTCTGGTTGTAACAGTCCTCTTTGGAGGATGTTCTTCCTCCTTAGTAGAGTGTGGGTCGGCAGTTTTTGGACTCACTTGGGCGTGCCTTGTGTCAATCTGCGTGTCGACAGATTTAGTTCTGACTGATGTATCCCGACCGCGCTTGCCGAGACACTTTTTTGCGGCATTTACTATTGAGATGGCCTCGGTTAACAGGCTATTTGCATCCAAACAGCACTGTTGACATAGCCATACGCACCCATTTTTAATGAACCGCTTGAAAGCTGCAGGTGTTAGATTCGTGCAAACATCGTGGTACCAACCTTTGCACTCATCGCACTGCATGCCGCTATCAACAGGATATCGACATCCTGGGCGGTGGCAAATGCTTTTGTTGCATCTTCCAGTCATTTTAGGATGCGAAAGTGAGTGTTGACTACAAGTAGAAAAAAAACTATAAACAGTTAGGACCAAAGTACTAACAGACACAATAGAAAAACAAAGGTACTCTGGAGTACCGACGATAAAACTATTTAGGATACCAAAGATGGTACTCTAATAGAATACTTTAACTGAAGGAAATTCAATCAAAGTATAAAAACAGTAGTCTTGATACGTTAATAACGATCAAAACAATAGAATTTACTCAACGAGGAAAAATACCACTGTCCTTTTTAAATAGCCCGCGTAAATTGTAGAATGACTCGGGGTATGTGACCAACCTTTTGAGATATATGACTCAGAGGCTTTTTGTGGTATGAGTTAATTACTTCACCCTACTACTATATCATAGCTTTGACTCCTAGTTTGCCGACGACAATTTGAGTAACTATGTCCTCAATCTATACATAATAGTCTTAGCTCATAACCTTGGATACGAGCATGCATTTGACCGGTTGACGACTCATGTATGTGTTGTGCTTATCGAAACCAACTTTAGTAGCCCTGTAAATTGGTTTTTATATTCTGGCACTAAAGGTCCATTTCATTCCAAAGCCAAACAATGTGTAGATTAAATTCTTACATTATAGAATTGGAAATCACCTTGATATGGATCACAAATTAGTGAGTATTTTATTTATTTATTATTTATTTAAACACATATATATTGGTACAAAAGGGCACCAGGTACATATGCGCCACACAAAATAATGAAAGTAGGAAGAGAAGGGATGAAAAGATAAGGCGGACTAAAATGTACAACCAGAAGACTCTTTCAAATAGGAAAGTAAGAACCATACTTTATGTAGAAAGTAAAAGAAGGTTGCAGCAGGATCGCCACTGGTTTCTATTCTGAGCCATATCTGATAACGTCTCTAGCCACTGTGTTGCACCATCTCTCGGACCCCAACCAAGGAGTCGTGAAGGACCAACAGAAGCTAGCCCTTTGCAGCTCTCTTTCATGCCACGACACCATGTCATACACTGACCTCCTCTCCGCTTTTTCCAACCAGTCCCAGGGTCGGCAAATAATGCACGACGTGGAAGTCTCTGGGACGACATTCGTAAAACATGTCCAAGCCACCGAAGTCAGTGTTTCAAGATGGTGACACCAATTGAATTATCGTCTCTGTGCCCGAACACACGATGCCGAACCTCTGCATTACTAACATGGTGTTGCCACTGGATGTCAGCAATCCTTCGGAGACAACGATGATCGAACACAGAGAGACGTCTAACATCCTCAACTCGGAGAGGCCAGGTTTCACAAGCATAGAGCAAAACTGCTCTCACCGACGCGTTGTAAATCCGACTTTTTACAGCCAGACTAACATCACGAAGGCGCCAAAGATGGCCCAGATTGGCATAAGCCGATCTGGCTTTCCTTATACGTGCATCAATCTCATCACTCACGCCACCACCAGCACTTATATAGCTACCTAGATACACGAACTTCTCAACTACTTCGATCTGCTCACCATCCAGGGTGAGTACAGGATGAGAATCCTGCCAGTCTTGTAGAAGTACTTTGCACTTGGAGGGTGCAAAGCACATGCCGTACCTGCGGACACTGATTGCCAACTGATTATGTGCTGATTGCATGCCTTGGGCATTATCGCACAGTAAGACAATATCATCCGCATACTCAAGGTCGAGAAGTCGTTCTCCAGGCAACATATCCACACCGCCATTACTTACATCCACCAGAGCTGTTTCTAGGATGTCGTCGATGGCAAAGTTGAAGAGGAATGGTGAGATCGGGCAACCCTGTCTAACCCCACTGCTCGAATGGAACAAGGGAGAAAGGTGGTTGTATGCCCTCACTCTGCCTGAGGTGTTCGTGTACAGGGCCTTTAAGGTGTTAATGAACTTCTCAGGCACACCCTTCTTCAATAGACAATCCCAGAGAACAGTCCTGTCCAACGAATCGAAGGCAGCCCTGATATCAAGAAACACTACGATTGTTGGCCTGCGATAAGTATGACGGTGTTCTAACATTTGGCGGAGGGTGAAGATGTGATCAATGCATCCTCGACCAGAACGAAAACCAGCCTGCTCCTCGCGAGTCAATCGTTCTCGGGTTTTAAACAACCTACGAAGAATGATAGAAGCCAATAGTTTGGACGCGATCGAAAGTAGACTTATCTCCCGGTAGTTATTGCAGGAACAACGTGAACCCTTTTTAAAGATAGGGAAGACTATTGACTCATTCTAAGATGTTGGAACACTTTCTTGCTCCCAAACCTTTCCAAACAACACAGTCAGTTCCTTAGCCAGAAAGTCACCACCATCTTTAAAAAGAGCCGGAGGTAAGTCATCTGGGCCAGGTGATTTATAACGTTTCAAGAGTTGGAGTTCCTTGCGGACTTCCGCCTCGTTTGGTGGATCAGTCGTCACCGGCCATGGGGAGCAGGACAAGCTGGTTGATGTTGCCGGAGCAGCAGGCCAGTTGAACTGCCCTTCGAAAAATTCCGCCCATCGTCCAAGACGTCGGGAGATGTTAGTGATTGGCATCCCATCATCCTCGTAGATTGTTTCACTCACACCAGACTTCTTGCTGCCAGTGGCTCGGATGAGTTGGAAGAGCTTCCGACAGTTACCAGATGCAGTTGCTGCTTCCAGCTCATTAGCACTCTCCGACCACCAGGCTTCTCGGTCCTTACGCAAGCTTTGCCCAATTTCATTACGTAACAGCCTTCGTTTGTGGTCAAACTCACGGTCACCCGGAGTAGACCGACGGGCTTCCATCAGTTGTAAGGAGCCAGAAGAAACCCAGTGTTTGTAAGCGGGACGTTTCGCGAAGCCGCAAGCGGCTTTACTCGCCATTTTCATGGCGTCGTGAAGATGCAACCAATGCTCATCTATACTTTTCGGTGGGGTGTTAGCTAGCCTAGAGGCTAGCTCCGCTCGGTACTTACTTGCAACAGGAGTTGCAGCCAGTTTACTAATATCAATCCGTTGGTGGTGGTCAATCCTTCGGCCACTGAAAAGTAAGGTGAGATTGGCGCAGACCAGGGCATGATCAGACTCCAGATAGGTACTCCAAAAGGAGCGGCAGTCTTGTACACAACCACGCCAGCGGTAGCTGATCGCGATGTGATCAATCTGAGTCCAGGCTTGGGATGCAGAGGGAGGATGCCAGGTGGCACACCGGCGATGACTGTGCCGGAAGTTAGTGCTGGCCAGAAACAGGTTGTGGTCTGTGCACAGTTGCAGCAAACGGTCCCCGTTATCTGTCCGGCAACCAACAAGTCCCCATCGGCCACCTAGACGACTCTCTTCTGTGCCTAGACGCCCGACCTGTGCATTCAAGTCTCCGGCTAGTACTACAATATCTGTCGAACGCGCTTTCTGGAGAAGAACTGTTAACTGATGGTAAAACTCATCCTTGATTGCATCCGGGCTGCAATCTGTCGGGGCATAGGCGGAGATGACGAAAAGACACCGTTTCTCACGCCGGTTTCTTCTCAATTTGATGGAACTTTCTAATCTAACAGCACATAACCGACTGTTAATGGGGAACCAATCGATTAGTGCTGCCTCAGCCCTAGCGCTTAGTGCGACACCAACGCCAGCAAGACCAGACGAAGATGCCACAGGGTCCCCGGATAAGCGCACGTGGAACAAGCTTTTCGAGGCGACAGATGGAGAGCGGATTTGTAGTACTTCACTAGAGTCTTGAATGCGGGTCTCGGATAGACAGCAAACGTCAACATTAAGACCTTCCAAAGACATAGCCAGCCCTATCTGTTGTCTGATCTGCATTAGTGTGCGAACGTTGAAGGAAGCCAGCTTGAACGGCGTACGCGGTTTCAGAAAGACTGCCTCAGTATTCATTATCGGTGGAAGCATTCACTTTCAACCAGACAGTGACTGGAGATCGTTTAGATAGGACAGATTTTCCACCAAGAGCGAGCTGATGCATAAGTTGAAGAGTAAGGTTACACAAATTGGGGGTAAAAGGGGGTGAATTAGCGATATGGTAAGTAATAATAATAATAATAATAATAATAATAATAATAATAATAATAATAATAATAAAGGTAATAATAATAATGTTAATTGTCTTGCTTATAATATGAGCAGGAATAGAATCGTCAATAGAGTTCGTCATTTCATTCATTTGTGTGTGGGCTGTGATACTGCCCGGGTGCCCAAACCGAAGCAGGTGGTTTTCTTAGGGGGCCACACCCGGAGCCTTTGACCTAAAGGTCTGATCCACAAGGCAGTGGAGCATCGTGAGGAGATGCAGTCCCATGGTAGTCGTTGACCAATGACAGGTTCTTCCGCCATTCGTTCCATCAGGAAACTGGAGCCCATGTGCACCATTGGTTTAGAATCAGGGTTTTCCAACTCCCCTAGGTGGACCCTCCGTGTCCACCAATACGGTTATAGCGCCGGACATTCGCTTTTCGTCCTCTCACTTTCGTAAACAACACCCCCGCCACGAGAAGGCAGTGAGTAGGACTTCCCTGTCAGAGGCTATATATTCGCTGGCCATATGAGAGCATTTCGAGAGGGAGAGTAGACGCTCCCCACTCTCGGCCGTACCAGGGCATTTGGGGGCTGAAGAAGAATGTCGTCAGTCTCTTTAAAATTGCTATCATTCATAATATTCATGTTGACCATATCTTTTGAAGTGTATTAACCCTCGGGAATAATCTGATTTTTTTGCTTCATGTTTAACTGAAAATAATTTTCAGCAAATTTTTAACCCAAAATAATGATAAAAGACGGTCATGCGTATACTTATTGTTGCTTTGTTCACTTTCCAATAAATTATTGTTTCTTCTTTTCTTAACTTACAGGAATGACACAGAGTCAAACCGTCTCCATGTCTCAGGGTGTTCATAATTATGAAATACCGACGCGTTTGCGAACACTTCACAACTTGGTAATACAGTATGCTAGTGAAGGTCGTTATGAAGTAGCAGTCCCACTGTGCAAACAAGCTTTGGAAGATCTTGAAAGGAACAGTGGACGCAATCATCCTGATGTTGCGACAATGCTGAATATTTTAGCTCTTGTCTATCGGTAAGTAATACCTAATTTACCACGAATTTCTTGTTTAGTGATCAAGGAAAATACAGAGAAGCTGCAACATTGTTGAATGACGCCCTAACTATTCGAGAAAAGACGTTGGGACCTGAGCATCCTGCTGTATTTTCTCCATTTTAACCTTGATGCATATCTTTTAGGTGGCTGCAACTTTAAACAACTTGGCTGTGCTTTACGGTAAACGTGGAAAATATAAAGAGGCGGAACCACTGTGTAAAAGGGCTTTGTTAATTAGGGAGAATGTAAGTTAATTTTTCACACTCGTTTAATTTACTAACTTTGGTTTCTTCAAATTTTTGAGGATTACTTATCTACCGCAAAATTCTTTAATATTAAAATGAGATAAATTACCATTCTACAGAATGTGTACGAATGTGTAAATTCATTGGTTTGTTAATTTCCTCGTGAATATTCAAATTTTTATTTCATTGTTGGACCTTTGAAGAACATGATGTTATTTGTTTCTTACAAGGATATGTTAACTAATAATCTGAAAGTATTGTCCTTTTTTATTTGTTGGCTCATTAAATAGGTTGCTGATTGAGGAGGGTTACTTTTGAATATGGTACTGGTATTGTTTTTATTCGCTGTACGAAGACTATTGTGGGGCAGTAGTGTGTTGTTCCCCCATAGTAATAGTTAACAAATGATTTCTTTTGTTCTTTAAAAAATAAAATCCATCCTTTCAAAATGTATTGGATAAAGTTGTTGCAATTCTAAGCTTATGAAAAACTAACAAATTTTTGATTATATCCAACCAAAACGTGTTAGTGCGTGGACAACCAATTTAAGTGGTTCTGATGTATTCAACTTTTGATGAGAGATGAAGCGTGAACACATTCTTAACAGTGAAATACATCTTTTATTATTATTGGTTACGATCTACTTTCTACCTTTATGTAGACTCGATGTACTAAGTCTATATTTCCTTGTAGTTCCAGTAATTGCATGAATTGGTATGATATCTTAGTTTTACCATCTCAGATCAATACGATTATCTATAAATCCATCCAATCCGCTAAGCATTCAATCAATCAGTCCTAATCAAAACAGACTAACAAATATGTTGACCAATCTAAGTAACCATACCACATCAATACTACTAAATTAAATTGACAGGATGAATAGCGAATGAATCGTAATGATTGCAGTAGCATTAATAGTGAAGATGGAATGGAAAATGTGTAGTAGAAAAATACCTGGAATTGAAGTCTAGAGAAAGATAAGTGAATGTATCTGGAGTCTATCTACCAATACGTCTTTTTAAATACATTCGGTTATATATAGATAAAGGCGACGCACTGATATTTGGGACGCAGTGTCTACTCAAGAATAACTCAAATTAAGAACATCCTGATCATTACAAATGCATACTTCATGTTAAAAACTGTATCCCAAGTTTCAAGAGTACCGTACTACAAAATAAATACAAAAGAATAAATCATGAATATTCAATTCCAGCTCTGATTAAAAGATTTGTTTGACCTATAGTACCCAAAATGATCTAGAGATCAGAACAAGAGTTGTTGAACTGCCGAAACGAACAACATAAACCAATATATCTAGCTACAAAGAAAGCTCTGTACTATCAGAACACAAAAGACTGACAATCTCACCAATCGATGTTCCATATTTCTCTGGTGTCCTACCTCTAACCTTGCTAACAATTACCATTACAGAAATATCTTACAGGATAAGTTTTCGATTGACTAATGCGAAAGGGGTAATGAATTTCAATGTTTAAAAAGTACTTAATGTTATCTCTTTGGACACCAGTTTGTCAGGAGATTCCTGAACAAAAGACCAAATAAATGTTTTACTATTGTAAGATCATGTGGTCAAGAGATGTAGGGTTCAACCCTGGTAAGCGTTTCTAGGCCTAGATTATAACAAAAAGTTTAATCAATACACCATTAACCAATTATATTACTGCCTTCTAGGTTTTGGGACAGGATCATCCGGATGTTGCTAAGCAGTTGAATAACTTGGCTTTATTATGTCAAAATCAAGGGAAGTATGAAGAGGTGAGCTTGATTTAAATATTTTCCTCGCTATCTCTTTGCTCACATTTAGAAACTACACTATTTCATTATTTTGTTTTTGTTGAATAAATGCATTTCGTTCCTCGTTTGTATAAATTGAAAAGAGAGTGCTGTTTACTCTACACCTACATTCACTTCTGTTTCAAGTTTCCAATAAATAATTTTATAACACGAAAAACGTGAAAGGGGTGGGTATTATTTTTTTGTAAGATCAGGAAACTGGTGTATCTTTATTATGATGTGGACTCTGATGGTGTGGCAAATGAGAAAAATATGCACCAGTACATGTAAGTGTACGACGTCTAGGACACTATTTTCACTGCGTCACACTCTCTTTGAGTGCTATATCTTTTAAGTGTAATTTGTAGTTATTGAAATCGAAGGACGGCTTTTATCCGAATGAAATTCTTGGCTACTCTCCACTGTTAGGTATAATTACTGACAAGGATGAAGATCAAAGTTGAGCGAAATGATGTTGTTGTTATGGAAATTCTCTCAATAACAGTAATTGACTCTTTAACAAAGTTAACAAATTAATGTAACTACCTTCGACACCGACTTGAATGTTTTGTACTCAGCTTATGTATTTCATTTTATCGTTATTCATGTCGACGCATTGTTGTTGGTGCAATATCCAATTATGATATCAATGAGTCACTACGTGTTGGGTGTCATGAGTTACAGTGAAACTCGAAATATCATTTACTGATTGCATGTTCATTAGTAGATTAAGGCAGTTTTTGCGACGGTTAGTATAAGTACAGCACTTCCCAAACCGAAGGAGGCGGAGTGGGATTCGAATTTATGGCCAGTGTTTATAGCAGAAAATATCACAATAAACTCTGTCCAGCCTAGTTTTCATTTTTTATTACTCATTCTGTTGTAGGGGCCATGATAGAATCTTTTCATAATGGACTTTGAAAGTGGCAACTATTGATAATGCACCTAGAAGTAGAAAAGTTTGATTTTTTAAGCTTTTCAGTCTTCAACAAAAGGTCTTGTTATCAGATTACAGAAGGCCTCATACAATAGAAGTTGCAACCATTTGGTCCATTGAAGACAGTGAAATCAGTTGTGATGAATATTACTTCAGATTTGATGTGGATGTATTATTGTATTTTACTTCGAAAACATCTGATATTTGAGGGTATGTTAGTACTGAGGGAATTCTCTTGGTTACCACAGCTCATTTCATTCCCTAAATAGTAGTCGTGGGTTAATAACCGACATTTATGTTCAGTTTATCAACATCAGTTCTTCTGGTCCCCTAAATTCTGGACATCTCATTCTATTTTGAGAATATTTAGAACTGTTTGATATGAATAACGTGTCGTTTGAGATACTTACTGTGAATGAGTAGATATAAATTTAGTATATTGATACATATTTTGTCATAAATAGTAAATTTACTTGACGCATCATCACTGACAAATTCGTCTTCCGAAGATTGTCTTCCAGTTAAATAGGTACCCATATTCACCTGTTCCTGAATTCAAAACATTACCTTCCCCTGTTAGTCCCTTCGTTTTTTTTTGAGTTTAAGCTTCTGAATAGTATCAAGCAATTGTTAAACGAGGATTTTACACAAAATTTCACTAAATCGGCCTAACTTACTTCACTTTACCTAAGATGTTTAAGCGTAAGCCAGTTTGAAAAAGTTCACGAAATGCCTTGCTGTAAGTGTGTATAATTGGCCGACTAACTATGAGACGTATCATTGCGAAAATCTGAATTTTTTTGTGTGTATTCTCTCCACATACTTTTGGTTTGGTGAAGTAATTAGCGTATGCAGATCACTGTATATACTCAGTAGATAAATATTCCGATTCACTTTGGGATTTTTAACTTCAATGTTAGTGATATTATCAAAGAAGATTTGAATTGTCCCGTTTTTGATAATCTTAACTGAATTATGATCTATCTTCGTTGAGATGTGTGCATCCTATGCATATTTCCTCAATATGGTAATTTTTCATCCATCTGTCTAATAATAATTGTTTACCCTTTCTTTTTCTGATTCAATAGTTATTCTATATTTTCGTATCTAATACTATTAGGTAGAGTTATACTATCAACGAGCTTTGGAAATTTATATACACGATCTCGGACCAGATGATCCAAATGTAGCTAAAACTAAAAATAATTTAGTAGGTTTTCTTTTTTCCTGTAATATTTCAAATGGTTTAAGCCAGTTAAAATGTTTAGTCTTATGTGTGTCAGTCGGTCGTTGTTTCACCCTTATCTGGTAATAACAATGCAAGGTGTGGCTGTTTGTGCATTCTTTTTCTCTCTCTCTCTTATGTATTTTTATTGTTCACTTGAGAACTGTATACCTTTTAGAAATTGAAAAAATATATACATGCATATATGCATATATATCCATATATGTGTATATATACGCCAAACTGTAACCATAGTCTTGAAATGAACAAAGTGAAAATTGATTTTCAGCATTGTGGCAATGTCTCGCCTATCGATTGCCTCGATTACTGTTATGAAATAATTATAGGGAGTTACACAACTTAAGCGGGCTCATTCAATAAATGATACTCTTTCAAATTTATTGTACTTTATATTCTTTTCATTCAAGAAATTATATAATGGAAATATGTGAAGGTATGATCGAAAAGAGGACTAATACTATAGATGGTATTTGTTTACATTATATATCTGAGAATCGTTTGCTTTTCGTATGGTCGTTGAGTAAATGATGTTTATTCTCTATGTGGATTGCCAAACAAAACAGATGGCATCAAAAATAAGTAGTATTTGAGGAAAAGTATTTACAACATTTTACATACACACCTAACCACCTCGTCAGTGGTAACATGGGTAAGAGTAGAATGGGAAGGCATTGTAGTTATCAAATAAGGACATCGAGCTATTTAACCAAGTCTGACTGTTGATTTGAGCATGTCTTTGTTGTGACTTTTGGCCGGTTAAATATCACGTGATTTATTCGCCAATCAGAACACGATTTATTCAATCTTACCAGCGTGCCGAATCAATGACGTTTTGACCGGTATAAGTGGCCTAGTGTCCTTATTGGTCCTTTTTCCACCTTAGCCCAGCCTGTTGAGACTAGAACACCTATATCAGCTTCCACTATACGAATAATTTATTTCAGACGCACTTGTTTTATATACAAGCAAACCAGACCACATCATATAAAATAAAAAAAGAAATAACAATTGTACAGGATCAAGTCAAAAAGTGTCTGTGATTTTGAGAGAATAGGACTAATAGTTTGGGAATGATTTAAGAATAGTAAATCGCATAATAATAACCCATGGATCAAAATAAAGCTTATGATGAGGAATATAAATATACATGGTCTAGTTACTGAGTAGTTATATAATAAGAATATACGTATAATATTAGTTTATTAATAGCTCTCAGAAGTTACCCATAATTGAATCTTCGCTAGTATATAACAGTTTTTTCATCAAGGTCTGTGGGACAAATGAACTTGGTAACTGGAGATTTTCATTGATATAATTCAAAATCATTTTTGTAGTTAAAAGTTATTCGGTAGGATTGTGTTACTTTAGTATTATCTACCTTAGAGTCTTTGCCGTTACGTAGTTCGCTACTTTTATTTTTATTTTTACTAAGGCATTTTCCTGGTGTTGATTCTCGAATCATTGTTTTTGATATGCAGCTAATAAAGCTTTACCATATATTGTGTCAGATTTTGTGTATGCCTGTTTGCCCTTTATCGGTGTCACATTTTATTACAACTCAATGCCCCAGGATATGTTGAATCCAGTTATAAACTTACTTAACACACTCAGTTTAAACCAACATAATTCATTTTAGATCATTTTGTATTTATGTAGTCTACTGTTCAATATATAATGCATATATGATCTAATAGGTTATGGTCCTCTTTACAAAAATGATTAATTCATTTATTCTTAAGTGATTTGCAGATTACCTACTTACGGAATGTTGATTTTTCAACTCCCAGAGCAGAGTGTAAATGGTTTAAATTGTTTTTTTCTCGTTAGCGTTTTTTTAGTAAGGTTGTGTTCTTTGCAATGGGGTTGCTGACTCCTTGTACAACCCTCGTCCTTTTCCTGGGCTTGGGACCGTCAGTAACCTTAGAAGAATTGATTTGCAAATTACTACAATTGATTTTATCTCTTACTATCATATTTTTCTCAGGCTTCAGCCTATCTTAAACAAGGTAAATATGCTGAAGCTGAAAAATTATATAAAGAGGTGCTTACACGAGCTCATGAAAAAGAATTCGGAAAAATTTCTGATACAAACAAACCTATTTGGATGCTTGCAGAAGAACGTCAATCCGGTCAGTTAACCAATGCAAATAAGGATATTAGTGAAACTGTTCAATCAATGTGGTCACGTATTTCTCGTTTAGAAAAGTAAGTAGGAAATTTTGATTGGTCTTCATCCTTGCTTACCTACTACCTGTTATTTTTATTATTTCAGTCTAACTGTTCAATATCCGGTCAATTATAATCGTCTATATAGTTAAATTAATTTGAACATGATTCTCATATAACCATAGTCTACTACGGAAACACTGATGTTTGTCTAAATGACTGTAGTAATAGGAATCGATCACTTTACTTAAGTTGGAGTTCAATATTCAGTACATATATATGTATATGAAGACAATAAGTATTTCCAAATATGTTATTTGCCAATTGGCCTTATTAAGCTAGATTTATGATTCTTAGTTCGACACATAACTAGTTTCCATCACGAACGGATATGAATCATAGAATTCTTAGGTGATTCGTATGGTCGTTTGAGAAATCGCTTAGAAAAAAGCATCGCTTAAATTACTCTCAGCCAGTCAAAATTCTTTGAAGTCGACTGATTATATCCTCTCCTAACCCGATTGTTCGAGTGTTATGAATATTGCTTATGTCAGTATCTTCCCAGAAAACGCAGGTCACTGGTAATCATCTTATAGATCTCTGTTCTTCTCAGTAATGAAACCAGCCTTAGAATTAAAGGTTTTTCGTATTTCTTGCCTTTCGTTCTTTGTTCATGCTTCAAGTAAACATTGCTATTTAAAAATGTCATAAGAATCCAATGCTTCAAGCGTCCAGAATACAGGATATGTAAATAACCATTTAGAAACAATGAACAACTGAATATAAGATTTATGTTTTAATTTTATTTAATGTATTTTCATCTTACCGTTTATTCTCTTTCTACGCGGTCCCATTCCTAACGAATCCCACTCAGGGATGAATAACAAATGTTCTTTCTTAATACCTAGTAATAATACTTATAGAGGATCCAAAAGTTTTTTTCGGTACTGAAAATGTTTTATTTGTTTGGCTCTTACTCATTGAGTTTTTTTTGCAAGAATGGAAAATAAACTGCTGTTTTATATCTTATTTCAGAAATAATTTCCATTATAATTTGATTTCATATTATTGTTTAATGCGTATGTACAAGAATTCACTTTTAAGTAAAGGAGATGAAAGTAGGCTTAGACACCGTAGTTGCATATACTGATTAGAGATTGTCACATATAAGTGTGGTAATCCGAATTTTATTATGATAAACTTACAATCTTCACTACAGTGTTAAATACTATCTTCTATGCTTATATTTCTATTGTAATATCAATATTATTATTTTCACTTGCTCTTTTTTCGAACTACTAATTTCCACTCCATGCTCTACTGATGTAATATTTAACGTTTGTAATCGATCTACATTTGCACCAAGCATTATATTGTCTATGACTAAGTTAATAAAGAGGACATATGAGGAGGAAAATGACACCCCCACTTAAGTGTTCTTCTGGTTGATATATGATAAAACTTGTGAAAAAAGATTATTTTTCCTAAATAATCATAAGATGCTTATCACTCTCATTGCCTTAAGCGAACAATTAGATAAATGTCTGATAGTGTTATACACAGGGAAATCAACAATTACACGTTAATTACTATCTTTATTATGCTCTGTGATGTCGTTCAGCACCATATTTTATATTTCAGTATTCCATGTTTTTTTTTCTAAAAAAACCTCAGTGCTCCTTTTCTCTTATTGTAGTACTTCTTTGTTTCTATTTTATTTCGTAATAATGAGGGAAAGTTTGACAACTACCTATAAAGCTAGTTCTAATTATCAACAACACTGCTGAGGAGTCCCATAATAGGACGAAACGGCCGTTCAATGCTTCCAGGTTTTCCATGGTGGTCTGGCTTCAATTGACTCATGATTTCAACTTTGAAAAAAACTGTCCGTTAATAATTGCTAACTATTTGTTTTACTTTCTATTATTTCTCTTTCAACTGAATGTTGTTTTTAGAATTTGATTTATTTAAAGATATGAAGAAATTTTTCCAATGTTTATTTGTGTTTTCAATTCTTACTTTTAGCCAAACTGAGTGTTTTTCTCTGTTTTTCACTAGAAAAGATCTCATTCTTAAAAAAAGTCTACATTATACAATCTCAATGGATTAGTAAATGTTAACTTTTCTCTCTTTTTTAAATTTATTAAAATTATTGGGTTAAAATGTAATAAAATTTTAGTCTAACTAATGAACAGTCAACATTGTTTTATATACATTCCTTTTTGATGTTTAATTCAATTCATTTATTTATTGATGTTTACACGTGCTCACATTGATAAGCTGTAATAGCATTCACGTGATTTAGCTTGATAGGTTAATATTTATTTATTTATTGACAGTAAGTTTTTGAAGTACATGTAGTCATTCAATTACTTATCAGGTAAATGATTATTAAACTAATGTAATTAATTGTTCACTTTGATTTTTTTTTCATATCTACCATTGAATTTTAGTTACTTAAAGTACAATTAACAGTATTCAACATATGTATAATAGTGTTGTAATTTCCATTTCATATTTTTAGGTTTATCATCTAAACATTCCAGTTGCCATGTTTACTTAAGCTAATCGATTTTTATTCACCTTATAAGCATACAAATATAGTTTTATATTTATTCTTTATATGTATAGAAATAGATGGTTAGAAACCTTTGGTTAACCAACACTTTATCCAGCAATGTTTAAATGACTCAAACAGTTTACTTTCTATCATTGAGTTTCAGGTTTAAATCCTTCAGTCTAAGGATCAACTTCCAAATAAAAATAAATGTAAATACTTGGTTTTTGGATTTTATTCAATTTAGCATCGAATCAGTTTATTGATATTGAGGATATGTTCACCTTGATATCATCAACGATTTAAATTATTAGACTTTTAAAATTTGTTGATTATTTCAACAGGCAAAATATCGAAATTAACCAAAAGAAATGTGTCATAAAGTATGAAGGGATGTCTTAGCAGTCTAAAAGACTAAAAAAATGAATTCCCTTAATGACGAACAATTTTTAACCATCTTACTCTGTATTTTCAATCATAAGTGTATAAAAAATCATATGGCGAGCCGGCAAAGTTATATCTTCATTCTTAACTCAGATATTCAGTTAACTCTGGAGTGATATCTTGTCCCAATCTGTTCATCGAAATATTTGAAGATTAAGTGTCCTAGACAGTTTTTTTGAATCAAATAGATAATGTATAATAATACATACATACATACATACAACAATACAATACAGTACATTTCAGTCCCCCCATCATTACTCTTCTTTTTTTATATATCCTTTTTTCTTCCTTATGTATATATATCTTCCCCCTTTCTTCTCCCATTCTCATTATTTTGTGTGGCGCATATGTACCTGGTGCCCTTTTTTACCAAAATGTATGCGTTTAAATAAATAAATAAATAATAAAATAAGATGATGTATAGGAAACTACAGTAAATTTCATTCATTTCTGTTGATATTCACTTCTTAGTTTGCCTTCTTTGTCTTAACTCCCACCGCTTAATATCACCGCCATATATTTCAAGTTGTAACTTCAATATCTCAGTTTCTGTTTGCAGGAAAATATTTAAATTTAATGAGTACAAATTCCTAGTTTTTTACTGACAAACCGCTTTATTTTTTTCATTATGCAGTCCAACTGTCGGTACAACTCTTCGAAATTTGGTTGCCCTTTATCGTAGACAAGGTAAATTCGATGCGGCTGATATAATTGACGAGTATGCTTCATACTCTAGGACGTCATCTGTTTCCGAACCTGTAAGTCCTACATGTTTCACCTTTATCAATTGTTTTTAAACTTGCTTTGGTTTTGCATTATTCTATTCTGTGGGTAAAGTTTTTGACATTGGTTTACTTCAGAAATCTTTTCCCTATTTTGAAAGGTTTATGAAGCATCAAGGTTTGACCTGGTAATTTCAAATAAATTAGACATTGAATGGATTGTGTATCGTGATAAGATAGTAATATATATTCGGGATATCCCAATAAGTAGAAAATTGAGTTTTCGACATTTTACAACATAATTAAAGTTGGTTTGTCAGAGCTTAAATAAACGTTTCCAAATTAACACATTCAAATCGCAATTGTATTATTTTAGTCATCAAGTTTTACACTTGGAAACACAAAGTTCTATGTTTTACTTCCTAATCTAAACAGATTTTACTAGAATTTGATAATGATAAAAATATGCTAATATCTTTCTCTCTAAATTGCGGGTCAGTAGTTATTTCCACATTCAAAAATTAGACATAGACATATAGCTAGTTGTTCCCATACAGTTAGTTCTTTATATGTTGTATGACATCCATAAGGCTTCACACTTGGCGTTTGTTACTTTATCCCAGCTTCATTTTGTGTACTCGTTCAGAAATTTTATTGCAACTCTCTTCTTGTATATTGTTTCTTGGCTGTTCTCCAAATCTTGGATTTCTGTGATACTAGTTTAAATTTGCAACTGATTTAATGAATAAAGTACTCCACTGTTTAGTTACTGGCTTCATCTCCAGCTGTCGGATAGTTTCATCAGCTTTTGCACGGGATGAGTACATAAACTTGTGTTTAGTTATTAATTCGATTTTGGTTGTCTGAACATAAATCACGTACTTCATAGGTATTTGTTTCGAGTTGGATAGATCATTTTTACTTTCATGTCTATGCATTTACGATTTCTCATTTTTAAATTAGGACTGTGAACAGCTGGAACATAAGCCACAATTTCCAATCAACGATCAGTATCCTAGGCGAGGTTATTCACGCCATCCATATCAGCGTGTTGAAGATAGATCTATGATCACTTCTTCACGCAGTCTACTTGGTCCTCCAAATGGTCACCCTATCAATAGACGATCATTTCCTCCTAGTCGTGGGTTTTTCAGGTAGCTTAGCTTTCTCTAGCGCCTCGGTCTATCCTCTAATTCATTTGCACTTAAATGTTGACCTTTAGTAGAGCTTCTGTTTGCTGCACTGCATGACTATATGATCCATCACAATTTTAGTCTATTGATTTGGCAGTTTAACCCAAATTCGCTTCCTTAGTAATTATGATTCAACCTTTGGTGGCGTAATTTAAATGAGGGTATTTATTATTCAAGCTTTTCGTTTCATATATATACATAAATCTTGTGTCAAGATGTTTTTTTCAAGAACATTGTTGAGATTTTTTCCTCCTTGCTGTTCCTTTTTTATTTTCTTAAATATATTACTTAGACACTAATTTTGTTTACCCGTCCTTACTCTGTGTTTGATTTATTAAAAAAAGATAAAATATGTTATCCTATTTAATGAATATAAACAATTAATTTATCACCAGTTTTGTGAATTAAATACAGGCCACTTAACCAATATTTTACTAGTAATGATTGGCCAATGTAGATCAGACTCATTTTCTCTCTAAACAGCATTTAGGATTTGAATAAAGGTTCAGCGTTGGATACATTAATAAAATAATACCTTTATTCTGAACCATTTGAACACTTCTTACAATACGTTTTTGATCCGAATGACATCACACATCAATATGAACAATGCTTAGGTATACATAAGGTATTTTTCAACCTTTGTACTTGCTTTAAATATATCACTTTATACGTATTTTCTACCTGAAATTTTACACGTAAGCTTAGTTATTTATTTTTCGGTTCTATTGTACAAATAGATACTTTTATGATACGAATAGCCAAATTCATGCATCGTTTTAACTTCAGTATTAAGCTATTTCAAGCAAATAGCAGGATACTATTGACTGAGAGTTCATGCTATTTGGTATTTTTCAGAATGATACATCTGAAATCTAAAAAGAATTGACGCTAGACGACGTGTCTGAACTTACATCACAGTATCACAGCTAAAGATGTAAATCCTCCATTCAACTTAAAATCGACCTATCGTAAAACTAAGATAATTACACTAATTAATTAGTTTGTCTACTTTAACCACCATCACCGAATTATATAGTGAAATATTGGTTATTACCTACTAAACTGTTGCTGTTAGAGCACCCCTCAGGGGTTGTAATGAAGGTAATCAGACGGACCCTTTTACATCCACTACTTCACTCTTAAATTTCAGATGTGTAAGAGAATACTGATTGATTATGTTTTATTACAACCATAAGAAGTTGTTCTTAACGCGCCTTTATAATTATTTTCAGTACTTAATAAGTATGGTTCTGTACTATTAATATTATTTTTTCTCCAAAATGTTCTATTTGCTTATCGTTATGCAACAAACAGTAGAGGAAACAACACTGACTATTGTAAACTGTAAAATTTCGTCTATTTTTAAATATTAATTCTATAAACGAAGAAATATTGCTTATATTTTAGTCCATTGCCTAATATATCGATATAATCCTATTGTAATCTCTCGTTCTACACGAATGTAACTAGAATGTGTCACTTTTTAATTATCTAATCCGTAGATATTAATCACTACTACTCTTTGTGTTAATACTATCTGTACCATAAATCGTTTTTGTTATATAAAACTTACGGATGAAAGTTTTTGTATATTACGCATTTATTAACACTTAAAATGATTCGTAGCAATTATGATTAGCAATAATGCTGCTTTTATCTATTTTTACCACTGCAAGGTAGTGGTTATATATATATATATATATATATATATATATATATATATATATATATATTAACCTATTCCTCTTTTAACTCTTCACAAATCTCAATATCACAATGTTCTGATTATACACTCATATTTACAGCATCAAAAAGGCCCAATCAATGTCAACCCTTCCAGGAGGCTCTAATAATAAGATGTTTTATGTGCAGGTTAGTATATTTTGAATCGGTTTATTTCATGTTTCTGTATGATTACATCGATGTTTAGTTTCCTACAAGTGGATTTACTTTCTTTCTAGTAGATGCACAATATAAATGCTAGGTATAGCTATCAGAAGTTTACATAATTTACTAGCACTTTTTCGAAATTATTGGTAATATAATGAAGTCTACATTAATATAGCACAATATGCGATGCAGTAGGAAGAAGCACATTGTTGATTTTTATACTTACAAATTGTAGGTGGACTAGTGAAATATTAAATACCAACGATGCTATTAAAATTTGGGATGTCATAATGCGTTTTTAGAAGATACCAGTTTAACTTAGCCGTATACAAGTTATGTGGCGATTCACTCATATGAAGCATGCTTAGTTACATTCACTGTTGGTTTATATAAAATCAGTCTTGCTGGAAGTGTGCTGATAATTATCTGCTTTTTCACTAACATAAATTTGATGGACATAGTTTTTAATTCCTGTCTAGTATTGTGGTCAATTTTAACAAACTTTTGAATAGTTTCTACGATACTAGTTAAAACCTGTCCGATTGTTACATTTAGCTTAGATTAGTCAATACATTTCTTTATCAGTAGTTTCTTGTCTTCATTGATCATCGATTCAGATATCATCGTTTGTTGAACTTCAACGTGACGTGAACTCTTCCATATTGTTTGTAATTACCTTTACGAATATTCTTTATTTTTTTAATTAGGTTACGATTTTTCGACTCTGGTCACCAATTACTCTCACTATGTACTATTTCAAAAAAACATCTGTTTCGATTAGCAAAGAGGGATAGTGGCTAGCAGTGAAATCCAGGACGCGCGTTTTGTCCTATTCGCGACTCGTCAGCTGTATGTACCTGCATTGCAGAGTTGATGTTCACTCTGGGACTCCAATCCAGTACCTTTTGCTTCAAACGCCATCACGTTATCCACTTAGCTACTGAGTCCTGATAGCCATTTGCTTGTCTAAGGGAGTGAAGTTTAAATTCACTGGGCATAGTTTACTTGAATCTTCTCATTGATGTTTAGGACTGCAATTGATCAGTCTGAGATGCAGGTACATCCAGCTGACGAGTGCCAAATAGGGCGAAATGCGCGTCCTGGATTTCACTGCTAGCCATTATCTATCTTTACTTATAATGATTGTGAATTAAGGCTATATCGAGGCGATGCGCACAGTATGCACATATACTAATAAGAGATGGATCAATTGCAGTCTTACACATCAATGGGAAGATCCAAGTAAACAATACCAAGTGAATCGGTTTTGATAGTTCCTTACTTAAATAATTGGATGTTACGTACTTAATTGAACTCAGTGTTCGAGACTGTATCACAATTTATAAAACCATTTCGATATCAGTATGCTTAGTTGCAAACTTAGCTGCAAACTGTAAAATGTCAATAAAAAACTCAACGTTAGCATTTTGGGAAATTTTCACGAAAAGTGACAGTTAATATTCGTAGAAACAGACTTAAAGAGATCTAAAGCTTCATAGTTCTTTGCTTTTAGTTTAGCTAGAATAAACAAGCTTCAGTAAAGACCGTTATCTTCTAGGTAATATTATACTTTAAAGCTGTGTGGTTGCATCCATTGTTTATACAAATAAGTATGAGTTTGTCATTTTAGAGAGGAACAGAACGCGATTCCATTCTTAAATCTACCAGTGCGAGATAGATGTAAACCAATAATAAACTTGACCAAGTGCTTCGTAACCGGAGTTTCAACATAAGAGGTGCTTCTCAGGGAGATTAGAGAGTGTGGCTCTTCTTCATAGCTGACCTTTGTAAGGATGTAAACGTTGTACAATATCTAATATACCTTCCATTTAACTATTTGATTAGCTTTAAATCTATAGGATTTATCATTTAAACTAATAATTTCGAGACTTTGGGATGTGAGTTCGAACAGATAATCATCTCTCTACTGATCCATCTTGTGACACATTCTGTACTCACAAATTCACCTATTAGAAAAGTGTTAATATTTTACAATTTGTGGTTATTATTCATTATTTACGACCATTTTTTGCTGTCATCTCTTGATGTGTTCACATTTATAGCAGGAAAGGCTTAGACAACTGCGTGGTGGTTCAACTAATCCAAAAGAAATTTATTCCCAAGATGGTCATGCTAATAACAGTAATTATAATAATTATTTTCCCCTTGATGGCTACGGTACACGATCCCAATATATGTTTGACTTTAATCCATCTTTAAACAACAGTTTGAACCATTAATTCCTTTTTCTTTTATGATCTATTTAAAATTATGAAATCAGCAATTACACTTGTGTTTTAAAATATCCTTTTTCGTTATTTTGTGTTTGTTTGTTTATTCTCATCTCTGATTCATAGTAACAGTTATTACTTTCTCTCTATGTATACCTACTTATATGTGTGTAAAGTGTACTTAGGTGAGTAATTGTGCTAGTAGGATCGAATTATCATCTTTTCGTTTTTATTTATATGAAAGTTTATTTGTCTTTTCCATCCTGTTGCCATTGTTTACTGTCATCAATGGGATAACCGGTCGCGATTATTATATTATTATTATGTGCTCTGAACATTAACTTATATCATTACTTAATTTTTGGCTGTGATGAATCAAATGTGCAGATCTATATGTGAACTTTGTTCAATTTTTGAAAAAACGTTGCACACATGTTAATAAGAGAAAACTGCTCATGTGTGTGTGAATTCGTGCATGTTTGTGCTACTTCACGATTTCCCTTGTTTTGTTTTATGTTTCTAAATTAAGTTCCTTTTTTAAGGAGCTGTGTATCTCGAGTGTCATAATTCAGTTTTCAAAGAGAAAGATGTAATAAAACACTTATTCAGCTATAATTTATAAAGAACAATATTTGTGTCTTCATTCTCTATAACTGATACATCTTTGCATAACGGTATAAATCAATGCGTTTTCTTCTCTGTAGTCTCTTATATCTCGATTATTATTTTTTATTATTATGGTTCATTTTTGTGAATGCAATAAATATGTGCGCCTAAATTTTTGTTGAACTGTTTTCTCCATGTTAAATTAACCACATTCCTCTCTTTCCCTCTGTGTCTATCTCTATGCATCTCTCTCATTCAAACCATGTCGTTGGTGCTTATCTTTGTGCACATCTCAAACGTGAGATAAGGATACATGGATATATTTTTGTTTCCTGTTCTTTCATATTAAAATACAATTATGCATTTCTTAACATATTCATCTCTTTTTTTTCTACACAAATTTGTCTTCCTTTTTAATCTACCACCAACCTGATGGAACTCTTATTCACTTCTATGCATCCTCGTCACGTATGACAATTTTCTTTTATTGTCTAAAATTGCCTTCCTAAGTAAGTTTATGCTGGAAATACTAAACACCTATGCTAGAATTAGTTACCATAGATTTGTTCGTAAGGTGGATGTTGAGTAGGGTTTTTCGATCTACAATACATCGTTAATGAATAGATACGTACCTGTTTGTATAAAATCAGTTTATAACAGACAAGTAGAACCACATATATTCAAAATTTCCTTTATTAGTCGACTGGATATCAATGATTCTGATATTCGCTATACTAATTTTGATAAGGTAAAATAAACTTGCCCATATTTTTTCATGTATCAGAATGAAGTTCTTTAGAACATAAAATCGACTGGAATTTCCTGTGCCGTGCTATATTTACAAAGTAACGAGTTAATGTTACAAAAGTAATTACTTGAAAGGTTTATTTGTCACCGATTTCATTTAGTTGGTTTTTATGCTCCATGATAGCTCTTATACCAACGAGATTTTTCCAATTCATCAGGGAGAAAACCCTTTCCATACTTGAGTAACTGGGATGTTTCATTAGCTCATATACTTTTAGAACCTTTAAAGTTGGTTCACTTTACTACCATTCGTAAGACTTTCATCTGTTTCTATCGTTAAACTTTTCAAATGTTTAGTGCTCCATCCGAACTTTCGAAGTTTTATCCCTAGTCTCTTCCATCTGCTTTTCAAAACTCAAAGCTATTGATTTAGGTGTTCGAAATTTGAATCTGATAAGATACCCTATTTCATCGATCAATATTTTGAAATATCCCATAAATATATATATGTTATGTCTGAGATCAGTATGTGAATCTTATGTTGTTATTCACTTCACTTAAGTGGTTGGAAGATCAGATCTTTTCAACCTTCGATTATCTGAAGACACGGGAGAAATTCCCTGCAATCACTCAGATGTTAATTAAATAGCAGGGTTGATAATTCTGACCTTGGTTCTAACAGGTCGTTGATTGTACGTAGTCCAATTAAATAAAACGGTAACTCTAGCTAAAAAAGTATGTCTAAATTTCTACTGACTGCAGATATTATGAAAGAAAAATGATCTCTGTCTACAGCTTCCTAACCTCCCAACAATCTAGGCTCTCAAGGTAATTTCACTCGATGAACCTAATGATCAGTTAGATAATCTCAATTAAATCGAAAAATAATTTTGTTTCCTCCTCTCTGTGGATGTAATGTTGAGTATCTACTTCTCAGGAGTTCAGTCGTTTCAGCAAAACAACAGCACAATGAAAATGCTGAACAGTTTAGAAATAAACTACGTGACTGGTGTTATCTGTTGTTCGAAAATTCAACCTCATCATTTTCAGTGAAAGAAATATTTGAGATTTATTAGTCTCCATTTGTAGAGTATTACTTAGACACTGATATAAGTCAATACTGCGTTCGATAATTTACTAGTCTTAGGTATCCACAAAGTTATTCGTGTTGGTAGTCTAATCATGTGCGGTAGATTAGTGACTGAGGACTATTAAAAGGTGTTTTGTTTTATTTAAACTCCAGCACTCAGCTCTGCACTTAAATAGCTCTTTGGTAAGGTTCAAGCCATGACCATTACACTCACAGATCGGTAATTTGCTCTAATCACCTTCATTCGCTCCTACTGCGGGTGTCTTTTTGAATATTTTTCCAACCTGCTCAAACGATGAGCCTGCAGAATATGATTACTTAATTTTCAAAGTTCACGGCTTTCTATATTTTGTGGCTACACAATGTAACGAAACAAACATGAACTTCCTAGGCTATCAATGTTTCTTGCTCTACTGAAAGACGTAAATGTAGGTTTTATTTCGATCTAACTTGGCTAGTGAAGTGGCAGCACAGCTCATACTCCAGTTATCTAGTTATTCCTGTTGTATTTCGTAAACTTCAGTTTGTTCAAATCGCATCAAATAAAAGATCAAAAGTCCCAATTTATTTCTAAGGTTGCTTAGCTGAGTGTTGTTTCAAAAGCTCAGCTAATTAGCTACTAATTAATATGCTTATATAATGAGCTAATCGGGTGTGATCGGTAAAACGATTGATTCAGTAAAAGGTTTCAAAATATGCTGGGAGAAGTGACATAGTTGTTGCTGGAGTCACATGGTCTTCTAGAATTATCCGACAGACGGATAATCATCGGTATAATAAGGACATTACTGGAATGCATGAAGTGGTTGAACTGATAATTTGCTGACAGCCGCTTTCTAAATCCCAACTTGATAGATCTTGGATGGCATGACTGGCTACCAAATGATTATATAGATAAACATATATTTTGAGAATCATAGCTATTATTTTCATATGCAATATTATAGCTGTGTATCACTCATCAACTAACGTATGAATATTCAAGAATAATGTAAGGGTGATATAACGTTAATTATTTACTTTACTCTGACACAACATCTAATCACAACGAATTTTGTGAATCTATAAATTTACGGGTCACACGTATCTATAATGAGGGTCATTAAAACATTTTGAAAAATACTTAGTGATGATGTCCTAAAATTATGAAATGAGGTTAGAATGATAAGTAATACATACATTTACGCTAAACTATAGAATAAGTTAGACACTGATATCTGAAGTTTAAAGTGGATCGATATAAGAAAGACTAGATTAGAAATGGTTTTTCTTGTGTTTCGAACTTGCTCAAATACATCTGTTTATTGGAGAAACTAGACGTGAACGTCTATTCATTGTTGTTTAATCTGTATTAACACTAATAAGATACGAGAGATAAAAATTTACCAGTTCGTGAAAATTTTGTATGTTGGTTCTACATCTAGAAAAGTTTCATTTTTGTATCTTATATCACGAACTAACTTTAGTCAGATGATCATTTCAAACCGGGGATCACTAAACAGCTCTTTTATCATACTATGTAACTCCAAAGCAGGCCACATATACAATTTCCCCAAAGAGTGGATTCAGGCCTTGCATAACACTTTAAAAATCAGTGAATTAGCATCCACTGGTTCACTTTACTAACTTAAGTCTATTCACAATATTGCGCGATCGTCTTCAATACCATTGGTAATATATACCTCAAGCCGGATATGATTAAACTTCATTAGTCATTGTTTCTCACTAAAGTTTTAATGATTCCTCTGTATTAAACAATACTTCCTGAAATCGACTGATTTATAAGTCTTTATAATTGTTTTCATTCCATTGCGTGCTGTTAGCAATTGTTATTAGGTAATCAGAAATCGAAAAATAGAGAACTTTGTCCTATTCTTCACAACGTTGAAAAAAGTTTAACCATTCAACTAATGTATTAATTAGTTCCCGATAGGTAGTCGCAATTATAGCTTAGTGTACTGTTACTTACCCTGATGATTGTAATTCTTACTTGACCGATATACCATAATCTGGATTTGCTCTTCATTTACCTACCAATACAATAAGTCTATGTACGAAAAAACATTGATGTTCATTTGTTTTCACATGATCCATTAGACGACATAAATCCAAAAAATGTTTTATTCAGTCATATATTCAAACAATATCTTTCAATTGTAGAGCAACCTCAAATATTTTGCAAGAGGATTTTTTTATTAGTAAGTTAATTCACCAAAGTTTACTTGCTTCAATAAAGAAAATTAAACGTCGACAGAACTTAATTGGCATTTTGTCCTAATGAATTAATGTATTCAAGTGTATTGGTTACAAAAACTATGATTCTAACTAAAGAATTAGTAAAGTCCTATCTATGCACTGCTCACAGAGTATCATTGAATTTTTCATAAGTTGAACATACTCACAAATTTTATTTCATTCTGAATTTCCTTTTCCTATCTCAGTTATTCGCTTTTCTTGCCGGTATACTTAACTAACTTAGAGGATCATACTATACAAGTGTGTATACAAAGCCACCACTGAGGAGTCCCACAATAGGACAAAACAGCCGTCCAGGTTTTACATGGTGGTCCCTCATCAATTGACTCATGATCTCAACTATATCAAAAATGAATCGAAATGTTATCTGAATATACTACTTTTTGTCATAATTTATTTATGATTAGATGAATTGTCAGATTTGTGTTAATTAAATCGACTAATATTTTACGTCAATAATGTACTATTTGAACACGTATAGGATATCACATGTCTAAGTGTTTATAGCCAATCAATATTGAAAACATTATTTAATTACTAATTTCTGAAGATGTCAATCAATATATGTCACAGATAATATTGGAAAAAAATCGATATCATCATGTGTTACTTTCCCCCATTATAACAGTTTCAATAAGTTTATTACTGTTTTGTATTAGAGATACGTAAATCTTATTGATTAAATTGGATAATGATTATCGATTGATACGAATATTCGTCAAGATTAGAATGACAAAAATTGGGCATCGAGTATAGAGAAGTCATTATTTGTGAAAATTATATTTGAAATAATCTCGGCGATTGAAATTTAAATAATTTCAACGTTTCGTCCAGCTAACTTGTCTGGACTTCTTCAGGGTAATAATCAAAATCTTCATAGTTGAAATCATGAGTGAATTAAAGCTAGACTACCATGGAAAATCTGGAAGCACTGGACGGCTGTTTCGTTCTATTTTAGGACTCCTCAGAAGTGCGCATCCACGATCCCGCTTCGCGAGATTTAAACCCAGGACCTACCAGTCTATAAAAGTACTGAAATCTTCACAAAACCCCTTCTGATTAAAATCAAAATCATCAAAGAAATATATAGTGCTTTTTTAACAATCATATCGAAATCGATACTACGTTAAACCAATCATATTTGAATGTTGAATTTTTGTAAACAGGATAATATGATTCAGTTAACTGAGAATCATCTGATAAGTTCACAATGTGAAATAAAAGAAGACTAAATGAATTGTGTGTGTGTACGTATGTGTAAGAATGAGTTATTGATTAATGATATTCGGTTCACACTGTGAACTTTTCACATGATTCTCTTTTAACTGACTCATATTATTCTGTTTACAAAAATTCAACATCCAAATATGATTGGTTTAACGTAGTATCGATTTTGATATGATTGATGATTTTGATTATTACCCTAAAGAAGTCCAGACAAGTTAGCTGGACGAAATGTTGGAATTATTTACATTTCAATCGCCGAGATTATTTCAAATATAATTTTCACATATAATGGTTATCGATTGAATTTAAATTTTCCACACTGTTCTGTTAATAGCTTGTAGTTTGAATGCAATATTATTGGACTATTGATGATTTTCTTGAAATTAAGGAACATAATTCAATAAAACTAATAACAATCCAGTAACCACTAGCAAAATGAGTTATGATAGCCATCTAGAATCATGTATTTATTCTTACACAATGTTCTAGCATTCGAAACAAAGGTTTCTGAGTTAAAGTGTTGGCAATGCAAAGAATATCGATCCAAAATAAAATGAGATGTACAACTTAGGCTTTTATATCATATTTTAATACCATGGAGTTTTACAACTGTGACAGAGTAAAACTATTCATTTCATCATTATGATTTAGTTTAGTTTACAGATCATAACTTTTTTTCGCTACTACTTTGGTAACACATCTCAAAACTAATGAATTATAAATGTGGGCATATTGTTCAATTAATAAGTTTCTATTGTGTTTATCATAAAGTTTGAAGGTTTGATTTTATACTTAACTTAGAATACAAACAAATGAAGTAACTGATGCTTTCAGGCTTGAAATTGTTATTCGAACAATAAATTGTAATAATAAGCTATTCATCAATGTACTGATCAAGATAAAAAGTCAGTTGATTTGAATTCTGGTCTAAAGGTTTAAGTCAATC